ATCAGTTCCTATCATGTACCACTTTTGTTCCCTTCCCACCACCTATAACATATGTAAGAAGCACTGCACTATCATTACTGTGACTCGAGCTATGAATTTCCAGTCAAACACACACACACCAACAGACACACGCTAGCCGCTTATATATAGTAGGATGGTTTTACATGGTCTCTATATTCCTACGAATATCGCAATTATCAACCCTTATCGGCTCTTTCACTTCCTGTAGCCCACCGAACGTGTTCCTGTCCCACCCTGTACATCACTTCTTGGAAACAACGCCCCACTGCTGCGGAGACGCGCGCCATGAATTTTGAGAAATTTGCGTTTCGACGCCTCATATCAGGTCTTATCATTCGTCATCACTTTCTGACCACCACCAAGAATGTTTCCTATCCACCTCTATATCTTATTCAAAATATAGCGCTCCGTCGCTGCAGGGAAGCGAGCTATGAATTTCGTGACATACGCAAACACAGATACAAATAGACAGATATAACGCTTTATATATAGTAGTAGGGATTTTTGGCTACTTTATGAGACGGGCTACTATCATTTTGATACATTAAGCTCTCTGGCAATGGCCCTGGGGAATAGCTTTTCTGTCTTTTTTCTCTTTTTATTCGGAGTCATCGCTGCTCCATGTTGTGGGCAGACAAAGTACAGCGGTTAGGTACATCATCATCATTTTCTGTGGAAGAACTTTACGCACTTCAGCATTTTGGGTGTAGACTACGCAAATGCTTTCGATGTCGAAACATCAACATCGGCATGCGCATTGATGCACTCCGAGTTACAAGAATTCACTCAGCTTATTGAAGCTTGAGTTTTGGTATCGGAGAAAGAAAGCTATGTGGCTGGATCGCGTATCAAAATCTCTTGTTATCCCCAGCTGTTCGTGTCGCCAAAAGCTCTTACGCTTTTTTTAAACGCGTGCGGCTGACGCAGAGCTACTAATCGATTAGTTCCCACAACGGCCTTTACAGTATACTTCACAATACGCAACCTATATCACATCGAGTCAGACAAAGCAGCAGCTGAAATGGCAATGCTTCACTGAGACCACATTGCAAACTATCCTCGTAATGTCAACTGCAATGCTTGAAAGCACTATATAAATGCGAGAAGATGGTGACAGCCACATCTACCGGCACGCTTCCCATTTCCCGTAACTAACAAGATTTTCTTTCAGCTTTACATTTCAGAATGAAGGTCCTTGCATTTGTTATATTTGTGGCCGTATGTGTGGAAGCAATGCCAGAGCAGCGGCACAAACCGCATTCTCTCCACTCCTCTACAGAGAAAAGAGAAAAACTCTTCGAGAGACGCAAAGTGAGTGGACCTTCTTAAATGAAGCAGTTTCTGAAGAAGGACCATTTTCAAGTCGTTCAAGAGAAAAGCTGTCGATGAAAATGAACATGAAGTGGGAGACACGATTGAGGAAATCAACAAGAAAAGCGGGGTTGCAGACTCGCTGTACCAGGGAGATATACTTCTTACAAGGCTAGTTTTTTTTTCGGTTTCTGCTAACTTCTCTGACAAAATTTTGAGCAATATTAAGGGAGCAGAAAGACCAATTGGAACTCCGTTCCAAACGGCAAGCAATGAGCGTCTTAGGTAGAAGATGGCCTAACAAAAAGGTCCCATATATGTTTTCTGATGCAAGTCAGTCGCTCTTAAATTCTGTCACGCATGTGACGAATGAGCAAAATTTTATTCATGTTCAGACGAAAAGGTCAGGGCTGCCTTCAGAAAAGCAGCGCAGTTATGGAGGGACGACACGTGCATCGATATCAAAGAGTACAAGAGCTGGGAAGAACCAGGTTTTTGTAAGTGGCAATATGTTGTTTGCAAATTTTGATAGCTGTCCTATTCTCCCAGAAAAAAACGCCCCCTTGCCAACATCCCATACCCACACCACAACGATGAGATAAAACACTGGTCCTTCACAATAGAGAGCTAGTGCTTCAGCTTTTAATTACCTTGACGTGGCCGATGGAGACGGATGCGTTTCGCAAGTTGGTAAAGCACAAGAAGGTCCGCAGGAACTCAAGCTCGGCAAAGGCTGTGGAACGGTATGAATTTGAAGACCTTTCTGTCCGTTATACTCACATTCCTATGGAGGGGTATCAGTCAGCAGCAAATTTGCCAACAAAACCTTTCGTCCTGCTGCAGGTCGGGATTACTGCCCACGAAATTGGTCATGTACTTGGATTCTTCCACACCCAATCAAGATATGACCGTGACAAATACATCAGAGTCAACGAGGACAATATTAAGGTAAGGTCTGTGATTGCTGCAGAAGGATTTCAATCACGCGGACTACTTTAGCATGACTGGCGTGACCAGTTTGAAAAGCAGAGCGAGGCAAACAACAATAACTATGACCTGACATACGACTATGGTAGCATAATGCATTACGGATCTAGAAGGTAGAACAAATTCAATAGGTATCTGGAGGATATGAGTGAGCAATTTTAGTCCTAATGCTGCCATTGACGTCAATCGGCGTGTTATGGAAGCTACTGATGGTAATTATACGGAGACTCTTGGGTCTGATATCATATCGTTTTACGACCTGCTCATGATGAATAAACTCTACGATTGCCTCGGTAAGTAATGCGCGGGTAAATTTTGTACGCCTTATAAGTGCACGAAGGATAATATTTAAGGCGCATGCGCAAACGATAAACCAGCTTGCCAGAATGATGGATTCCCTCACCCTCGAAACTGCTCCAAGTGTGTTTGCCCTAGCGGGTACGGTGGACCCTTATGCGGGGAAAAGGTGACCTATCTTTCCATAAGTGAGCTGGTGATTCATCTCAAGGCATTTACTTAGCCATCCAATTGTGGTGCTGAACTGGAGGCTTCCCCCAATTGGCAAACATTTGAAAACACTCTGGACGCGGGGGAAGCCGGTGAGGAGCTGGACGAGTACAAAAGATGCACCTATTGGATTAAGGTCTGTGCCTTTTTAAAAGAAATTGCACTGAACTTGAAAAATCCATCATCTTAAGGTGCCAAACAATATAGACAATGCGAAAATAGAAGTGAAGATTGAAGAACTCCCTGCTAAATTTTCTAAAGATGGATGCATTTATGCTGGTGTTGAGATTAAGGCACACCCAGATAAACGCCGCACTGGTTACAGGTACAAAGTTGGGACAATGTGAAAAAAAAACAACTCTGGAACACTTTCAGGTTTTGCTCACGAGGAGACGTCGGCACTGTACTCGCGTCAAATAACAGCCTCGTTCCTGTCATAACATATAGCGCTAGCCGAACAGATGCTTTCACCGCAAAGTTGAGCTACCGCTACACTTTGGAGAAAAATTAGAAGCAAATAAAGTCTTTGTTCAAAACATCATTCATATCTATCATGATAACTATTATATTGTACCAGTTTCGCTCCGCCCGCTATCGCGCGCATCACACGGCAGGCTTTATAGAAACTGAAACACCCATGGAGTATCAGCTCGAGGTACTTAATTAACCACCTCACTATTGAATGTGTTATACCTTCCCCAATTTCGCTAAAGTCTATTGAAAATACGCGCGATAATGTCTGGAGCTGAACTGGCATAATTATCTCACAGCCGTAAACATCCAGCATTCTTCTTGAATTCGGATAATTTAGCGGTGAATCTTTTGCTGTCAGTCTCAAAATGAAAACGAAATACACCTATTCACATAAGTGAGGAGCTAAGGCTTATAATTTATTCACATTCACCATTATTTAGAACCCCGAAAGAATTAGCAGTTTAATGAATTTGAGCTTTCGCGATAGAAATGAAACATCATTTGCTGAAGACATGGTTGAGTTTATGCAATCGACTGCTATTAAGTAAGCTGGTCATACAATGATACAATGTTCAGGTACCACTACAAATAGAATTTGTGAGTAGGGACGCCCTAGTGTCAGCGCAAGCTACGTAACCGAACCGAATCGACGACTTTTGCGTTCTGACGCGCCTAATCAGACTGTATCAGCTGTCACCATTTTCCATCACCTACCAACAATGTCCCCGTCCCATCCCACGTAAAACTTGTAAGGATGGATGCTCTGGTGTCAACGCGAGCCAGGTATTAGATACGACGACTTTTACGTTCTTACGTGCCTCTATCGATTGTTATCACTTCCAATCACCCATCAGAAATGTTTGCGTCCCACCCCCTATAACGCTTGTGATTATGGTTGCTCTGGTGTCAATGCGAGCCAAGTAACGGAATTGACGACTTTTGGGTTCTAAAGCATCTTATCAGCCATTATCAGTTGCTACCGCTTCCAATCATGTACCACCCATGTCCTGGGACCACCCTACATAACACTTGTTAGTATAGACGCTCTAGTACCAATATGAACGACAAAACGAAATTGGCGATTCTCGCTTTCTAGCCCCTCTTATCATATAATCAGCAGTTATCAGTTCCTGTCATATACCACTTGCGTCCCCATCCCGCCCCCTATAACATATGTAAGAACCATGGCGCTATCGTTGCTGTGACCCGAGCTATGAATTTCCGGTGCAAAGGGTCATTTCAAATTCATACGTTCACAGCCTCGCGCAGCTTTGAGTTTCCTGACGGACCTTTTTGTGCTTTACAACTGCGAAACGCCATGATCGTCTCCATCGGACCACGTAAAGTAATTAAAAGCTGAAGCATAGAGCTTATGTTGAAGGCACCAGTGGTTTATCTCATCGTTGTTGGTGTGGGTAGGGAGGTTGGCAAGGGGCGTTTTTTCGGGGGAGAATCAGGAGCTATTAAAATTTGAAACAATATATTGCCACGTACAAAAAACTTGGTCGTCCCAGATTCTTGTCCTTCTTTGATATTCGATGCAGTAGTCGTCTCATAACTGCGTGCTTTTCTGAAGGCAGCGCCTTGAGCCTTTTCGTACTAAACGCATTGAATAAAAGTTTTGCTCATTCGTACATGCGTGACAGAATTTAGTGCGACTGACTTGCATCAGAAAACATATTATGGGACCTTTTTGTTAGCGCCATCTTCTACCTTAGACGGCGTCATTGCTTGCCGTTTGGACGGAGACTTCAAATTGGTCTTCTGCCTCCTTTAATATTGCCTAACATTGTGTCAGAGAAGTTAGCAGGGAACGACAAAAACTAGGCTGGTTAAGAACGTATATACTCCCTGTTACAGCGAGTCTGCAACCCCGCTTTTTCTGTTGATTTCCTCATGTGTCTCCAATTCATGTTTCATTTTCATCGAAGTTGTCTCTAACGACTTGAAATGGCCTTCTTCAGAAATGCTTCATTAAGAGCGTCCACTCACTTTGGTCGTCTCGAATGATTTGTCTCTCTGTCTCTGTAGAGAGGAGTGGAGAGAGATGCGGTGTATGTGCGCTGCTCTGGCATTGCTTCCACACATTACGGGCCACAAATTATAACAAATCAAGTGACTTCATCTGATAATCGTGAAGCTGAAAGAACATTGGTTAGTTACGGGAATGGAGAAGGCGTGGCGGTAGACGTGCTGTCACATTTGGCTCGCGATTTAATATAGTTGTTTCAAGCATGTGCGTGAATTCGAGGTAGTTGCAATGTGGTCTCAGTGAGCATTGCATTTCAGCTGCCTGATTTGGTTGACTCGATGTGATATAGGTGCGTATTGTGAAGTATATGTAAAGGCATACTTTGCTGGGAAACTAGAATCGATTAGAATAGCATCTGGCAGATGCAGCCGCACGCGTTAAAAAAGCGTAAGAGTTTTGGCGACAGAAAGCTGGGGGATACAAGAGATTTTGATACGGATCAGCAATAGCTTTTTCTCCGATACCAAAACTCAAGCTTCTAAGCTGAGTGAATTGTTATACTCGGAGATGCAATCATGCACATCGCGATGTTGATGTTTCGACTATCAAAGATTTGCGTAAGTCTACACCAAATATGCTGAAGTGCGGAAAGTTCTTCCACAGAAAGGGATGATGATACTAACCGCTTGTACTTTGTCTGCCCCACATGAGCAGCGATGCTCGAAGAAAAAGATGAAAAAAGACAGAAAGCTTGCCCAGGGGCCAGTGCAGAGAGTCTTAATGGATCAAATGATAGTAGCCCGTCCTATAAGTAGCCAAAATCCCTGATAACCATATATAAAGCGTTATATTGTCTATTTGTGTGTGTGTGTTTGCGTTGTCACGAAATTATAGTCGCCTCCTGCACGCGGACGGAGCGCTATATTTGAATAGATATAGAGCGTGGAAGGAAACATTCTTGGTGAGTGGTCAGAAAGTGGCCATGCGAATGAGAAAAGACCTGATATGAGGCGGCGAAACGACAATTTCTCAAAAATTCAATGGCGCGCTCTCCGCAGCAGTGGCGGCGTTGTTTGATCCAGAAGTGATGGACAGGGTGGGACAGCGAACACGTTCGTGGGTATCAGAAGTGAAAGAGCTTAAGGAGTGGGGTAATTGCGATATTCGTAGGAATATAGGACATGTAAACTCTATTTAAGCGGCGAGGTGTGTCTGTTGGGGCTGTGTGTGTGTGTTGTTGCTGAATTCATAGCTCGAGTCACAGGAATGTGTTGCAGTCTTCTTACATATGTTAGTAGCGTGTGTGGGAAGGGAACAAAAGTGGTAATGATAGAACTGATGACGATAGATATAGTGATAGACGCACTAGAAAGCAGCAACGCATTTTCGTGTTTGCGTTCATATTGGTAAAAAGAGGCCTTCTATACTTACAAGTTATGAGGGGCGTCCGGGACATTGGTTGATACATGCATTGGAGCGATAGCAATGGATAATGGCTGCATAAGCATGAGGCTATAACACAAAAGTCGTCAATTCTGTCAAGTAACTTTAGATTGACCCAGAGCAACAGCATACTTGGAGTGTCATGTGTGGCGGACGGGGACATTGTTGGTGGTGATGAAGTGACTGCGGCGGTAAGGCGGGTATTAAGGGCGCATCAGAAGCAAAGTCGTCGAATTCCGTACGGTGCAATCCTATTACACGGCCAATATCTGAATTAAGAAGAATGCATGGGTAAGTCTTCAGTGTGAGATAATTTATTCCATGTTCAGATCAGACGTCTATCAAGCGTATTCTTGATGGACTTCA